GGCAAAATTTGTTATGGTTTATAATGGCAAATGATACTTTGAATATTACATGTTGATAACTTGATTGGAATTATAACCCTAAGTTGACAGTCTGATACTTTGTAAATTTTGAGCCATCCCTACCCCCAAGGGCTGTAGGGTGGGGCCCAATGGAGTCTGTGTGCTAAAATAAAATTTCTTCATTTTCCTTGTTTAGAATCAGAGGTGCTAGTTTCAAATACTTTTCAGTCTTAAATCTGCATGCTAGATTTTGAATAAGGTGGTTTTATTGTTTTTTGTCACTTTGAATAATATTTCTGTTCATGTTAAAAACAAAAATCAACTCTCTGTATAAATATATCAGGTGACCGTTAAGGCCCATGGGCCTCTTGTTTATATAAATTACCGAGTCTTGTAAACGAACTAATCTGAATTCTGGTACATTTACCGATCCTGTATAAAGATGTACTTACTTCATTGTGGATACAGACATTGATATGAAATGAGAAAGTAATATTTTAATACTGGTTGATGCTGAGCCCATAAATGGATGCGAGTGTTTCTTGTTGCATGTGTAAAAGGTCTGGAAGTGGGTTTTTTGTTTATATAGATTAACCCTTTCACCACTATAGACCATAATGGACTTATCCAGGTCAACGCATGGTAGAGCTTATTAAAGTTACAAGGGGATGAATGATTCTTTTTCTCTTACCCTGTTCACCCATAATTGTATATCATCTACATAATGTACTGTTAACGTTACAGGCTAAATGCATTGTTGACGTGACGTCATACAATTGTTATGAATCGGGGAATCCCCCCCCGTCTCAACCCTAGGGTGAGTTAAGAATATCTCACACCGGGAAAAGTGTGGATACACCTGTCCAGGGTAAGAGAATAAATAATTTAAACCTTGGATACAGGATAGGTCGATGCTTATCAATCTGGCAACAGTGAGGGGAAACCTTGGCTGTCAGGACACAGGGAAACATGCTTATACCCGATATATATATAGGGCCTTGGAGTTATACACATGTTTGTAGAATAACTATTGACTGTACAGAATTTGTTGTCATGTAGATCATGATCAGTGTAATTGTTTTTAAGTTAAGGATATATGCTACCATACACCTTTTACAAATTATTTGTGTGGGAGTTGTCCCCCCTTATACAGAATACAGGAGCTATTTTGTGCATGCATTTTTTAAGTACATGTGTATATAATACCAGATGTCATAAATCAGTCTAACCACTCATAAGATATATTTCTAAAGAACTCTTTGGAAATAGAGGCGACAGTTTGGTAGCATGTACCCTTAAAAGTGTGAAATCAGTGTTTTAGATTGAATCATCATTTATGAAAGCAGAATTATTTTCTAATGGAAAACTTTCATCTTTTATATGTTTCATTATTTATGGCATTTAAAAAAAATTATTAATGTGTTTCTGTGAAGCTGTTGTCAAAGCTTATGGTATGGTGCAGCATTCGTCATACCTCCATCATCCCTGTTCTTTGAAGATCTTTGTAAAAAAAACAGAAGACTCTGGGTCCTGATATTTCGCCAGTAGGTACCTGGGATGGAGTGCTACAATATTCCTGATGTCACAGACCTTAAAATACTTTTCAGGTCATAGGGGTCAAATATGTTTAAACCTTTAACAAGATATTCTAAACCAAAGGGTCAAGAGCAATGATATTTGGATATATGTAGACCAACAGTGCAAATATTTTTTTCTTAATTTTGTGTTTAGGTCAATGGTCAACTTTGTGTGCTGGATCGGATCAAATGTTAACATTGGCTATAATGGATTAAAAGATTTAAGAAGGCTTTTACCAAAACTGTCATTCGTAGACCCGATGTGATTATATCCCATATACAATCTTGCTTGGCATAAAGAAAACAACACCACCATGCTACCAGGTAATGTCCAGGGTCTTGCCCTGCCCTTGGGGATTTAGTTTCTTGCTGGTACATTGAAATAATCTCAACCCTTTAGCCATAAACACATATATACAAATTCCAACCAAAGTTGCTATGAATCATCCTTGGGTGCAGGGAATGAGCCCCAAAGAGGAAATATTTGCAGTACTTTGTCATGATTGATTCATTCAGGTGAGTGAAACATGGCCAAACTCCAAATAAGACAAAAAGATGGGGAAAAAAACATTTTTAAATGTATATAATTTTAGAGTTTGCAGAAACTTTTAAGATTTTGACAGTTGTAAACACTATGTGCGAGATAGGTTACGTAGATGAAATAAGATTTTTATATGAGATTACTATTTTGGGTATTTTTTTAAAATATATATAAACAAAATCAATTATACTTTTTCCAATGTTTAAAAAATACAACATAAATTCCCATCGTGTACAATATTAATTAAAATTGATAGCAACTTGTCCTTGAATTACACTGTTGACGCATAATAAGTTTCTGATAACAATCCACATGTTTTTATCATGTTACAGGTACCATAACAATTTAGGTACAGCAAATAAATTTTAGTTGATCAATGTGTGAAATTTTATTGGATGTAGGCTTGATTAAAAGTGTTGTTTGCTTGCATTGTGACATTTCATTATGTATCAATAAACATTAGTCATCACTCTACGGCTGGTTTGTTTTTGTGTTCATATATAATAATATCTGACTAACTAGGTAGTCATCTCAGAGGGTCTAGAACACGGCAGCACTCATACTCGAAAAAAAGAGCATATCACATCAGTGCTATATTCATTACACTGGTTACCTGTACGATACAGGTCACAGTACAAAATTTTGGTGTACACATACAAGGCACTGAATGGAACAGCTCCCCAGTACCTACAGTTACCCTGCATCAGCCGTCACGATCACTTAGTTCGGATTCTTAGTTGTGGCCAAATTCAAGAAGGATATAAAGATCCACCTCTTCACCTCTGCATTCTAGGCTCTTAACACAGATGTCATGAACATAACGCCCTTTATTTATTCATTTATATGCACATTGAGATGATTATCCACTTGCTTAATGTATAATGGTGATTGTAAGCCTGTTCTGTTTATCAATTATAACAAATCCAGTTATCCATATGTTGTAATGCGCTTTAGAGTAATTTTACAAATTATATAGGGCACTATATAAATGTTGTATATTATTATTATAATGATCTCATCTATTTTACTTCAAAATTAGTAGATAATGGAGACAGTTCTACATCTTGGGTCATCACTCAGTGACTTCCCTGTAAACATGTACAGCTGTTGCCCTCATCTGCCTTCTGAACAATGTAAAGCTGTAGAATCATTATCTAATTATAAAGGAGGAGCTGTTGATGTTATGGAAGGAAACTTAGGCTGGAAAAAGAATATTTAAATGATAATTTTTTCAGACTTCCTAAAATTCACAAGTGATAATGTAAACAAACCCATTGAAGACCAGATGGAGCCATTTTTAGCTCACCTGGCATGAGCCATTGGACGTCTTGTCCTTATGGGCTTAGTTGATTTAGACTAGATATGGTCTAGAGGCCAAATTTTTCTCAATTTCGTATAATTGGAGATCATGTGGCAGAGCCAGGGCCAAATAAGAGAAAAGAGGTAAATCTTCAAATATCTTCTATACAAAAGAGGGGATTTTTATCAAATTTGTTCTAGAGCATCTTTGGGCAAAGGGGACTTAATCAGGCCGGGGCCGAATAGGGGGAATCTATCTCCTGTATTAACGAAAGGATTTTAACCAGTGTATCATTGGGGAAAGAGTACTCAGTTTTGTATGTATGGGGTGGTGCCCAATAGGGGAATTAGAGAAAAATATCAACAAGAGTACCGCCGGGTGGAACAATATACGCCTGTCGAATGCCATATAGTGTTATATACTTTCTTACATTGAAATAAGATCTGCATCATTCTAAGAGTGCTTAGCTGACATGCTATAAAAAATGTAGGAGAAAATCTCCAGACAAAAAATCAAATACTGAAATGAACAAAGGGCAATAACTTTTGCAAACATTGTCGAATTAAAATTCTTTTAAGGGAGACCCAACTTCATATCATGATTATAATGTATACAAAGTTTCAAAGAGATCAGCGAAAAATGTAGGAGATTGCCGGACAACCAAAAGTTTACGCCGGACGGACGACCCATAACAATACTCCTGTCAAATTTGACGGGCGTATAAAAATCCTTCGCTTTTGTACCAATGAAGAAAATTTCAACAAAATTCATTTTAGAGCATCTTTGGGCAAAAGGGGGATTCAATTTTGTTTAAACAGTGGGTGGGGTCAGAGGGACGGGGAACAATAGGGGAAATGGAGGTAAAACTGTTAAAATCTCCATCTGTAGGAATAGAGGGATTATCACCAGTTCTAGATCATGTGTAGGTCCACTAAACAAGATGTATAGAGATTCAAGTGATATTTCCAAACGTTCTTCTGTGTAAATTGTACAATTCTTTAAAACTGTCTGTAGACTTGTTTGTCTTCCAGACCCTGTATGATTTCAAAAATGTTAAATGCCCTGCTGAGTTATAACTGATCCAAACATGATCAGTTCCATACTGTTGTCAGGAGATTGTATATCTGCTTACATTATAGCACTCCAGACCACAGGAAAACAGTTCTCTCGGGAAAGGGTCTCAAAAGGACACCATTAATTGATACATGAGCCACACAAAATTCACTCGGTGTTGTAGACGACAAAGAGATATTTGAGTAGCCTTTCAATACATACTACAAAAACGGAAAATAATCCAGATATAAAAATATCTTTATTTACCAAATTTACAAACTCATCAAAGACACTTGTGTAGTATTGATATATATACTCATTAAAACACCTGTTAAGTATTGCCATACGTATCATTAAAGACACATGTGTAGTAATTAATGAAACACAAACTCACTAAAGACACTGATGTAATAGTACTTGGTAAAAATGGTATTTCTTTTTCCGATACACATATATATATATGTTGATCTAAATCAAGTAAAAATTGTTGCATAAACAAGTTATAAAAGTTTTGAAGTACTTTGAATTTTTCACAATATCTGCAGTGAAAATACTGATATTTTGTGGAGAAATGCTGACTCGGTGAAATGTTACTACTGCATGGACTTATAGTCAGCTTCCTTCTATTTCTCACATCTGTTATATACAGGTATGTAACAAGTGCATCAATATATGTACATTCACCTAAGGGTTCGCCCTCAGCCAACATTTCATTGTATCTGTTATGCATAGTTTTTTCAAATGAAGAATAAAAAAATAGTTAAAATAATATAAAAAAAATAGTTGATTATAAAAATGTAACATAAAAATGACAGGTTATGTATGATGAGGATGATAAAGAGTCTAGTGATGAAGAATTGGTTTTACTAAAGAAGACTTAACACAAATGGACATCTCAAGTGAAAACACGGAATGTAACAAGGTGTATTAAACTTGTTTTAGTTGCTTTGTGTAATAACCTTTGTTTGGTTGCTATGTGTAATAACCTTTGTTTGGTTGCTATGTGTAATAACCTTGTTTTGGTTGCTATTTGTAATAACCTTTGTTTGGTTGCTATGTGCGATACCCTTTGTTTGGTTGCTATATGTAATAACCTTGTTTTGGTTGCTATGTGCAATACCCTTTGTTTGGTTGCTATGTGTAATAACATTGTTTTGGTTGCTATGTGTGATACCCTTGTTTGGTTGCTATATGTGATAACCTTGTTTTAGTTGCTATGTGTGATACCCTTGTCTGGTTGCTATGTGTGATACCCTTTGTTTGGTTGCTATGTGTAATAACCTTGTTTTGGTTGCTATGTGTAATAACCTTGTTTTGGTTGCTAGGAGTGATGACCTTGTTTTGATGACTATGCAATGTTTAATTTAGATATTTTAACAAAATATTAACCTTGAAGCTTACATACAAAAAAATTCCTATCACAATGACTGACAAGTTCAATGATAACGAAACTATGACAGAAACAAGTGAAGGTCCTCTGTTATGGCTACCATGGACTGATAATAGCTAATTGACATCAATCTTTTAGAAGTGTTTAAATTGGCATTCTATGTCCTAGGGAGCTGCATATCATTAAGGGGAGACAACTGCTTAAACACCTCTAGCATCCTTTCCAGCACATTAAAATAAAAATAATACTTTTGACTAAATTATTTTTGTGGAAAGTAATGAGTTTCTTACAAAAAAAATGTAATTATCATTAAATATGAATTTAGAGGCATTTTTTTTAAGCTGGCAAGTATAACAAGTTCCTGATCACCCTTCAGTCCTCGATTACATCCCGAGATATATTCTGTTCAACGGATATCTCATATTCTACTTAGAGATTTGAAAACTTCAGTTTATCAAAATCCACACTCATCGAGTGAGGAAAATTTACAATATATGATTAATATCTCAATTCTTTCTTGTTAATAATATACACATCAATAAAATACAGAAACTGTTGACTACACATAAAAAAGTCTTCTTTCAAAATATTAGAATCTGAATATACTGCTCAACTTTGAATGGCATGGTTACTATAGTCTTGTTAAGTTCCAAGTTGATCAGATTAAAATGACAGATCCCCGGCAGTGTCATATGACATGTACTTAATATCTGAAAATGGCAATCAGTCATTGCCAAGGAGGATAATTACAGTGAGTGGATTGTCAAGCAATGAGTTGATCAAAAAAGCTTCCTTAATAAGGGGAAGTAAATTTAAGGTTATTTGGATGTGATTTAGAAATTAATTCATTTAAATCATGGATATTTGTATCCCACTTAAATCAGTCAGTTGGAATGTGTCTTTCCTTGGAAATGTTTGAGGACAATTAATTTTGGTAAACAATTTAGCTATGACTAGGTGATTTCAAAGTTGATGGTGTCAAACTTTAAGATATGTAAGCATTTGCCTCTTCAACACATAAGGGAACTTTTCCGTCGAGTTGAGATTTTCCAGCTAATCCAGAGTAAATAATTTGTTATGGAATCGTTGAACGGGTTTGATCATTCTACATTTAGATAATGTTTTAATTTTTGCTCATCGCTTTGTCACCCACAATGACACAAAGATTGTCACCACTAACACAACCAAATTAGGTATTAGGGTAGTAGAACCATTACAGAAGTCAGTATCACACAGACATTTAAACAGGAAGCCGCCATCGGACTCGACTGCCACACAGCCATTGGAGTATCCATCCCGTCGAATACACATCCGTGAGGTCACTGTAACCACTGCAAAATAAAACATCATATATACACAACATTGTTGTAACGTCAATATGTTATTATACATACATACACAACATTGTTGTAACGTCAATATGTTATTATACATACATACACAACATTGTTGTAAGGTCAATACGTTATTATACATATACACAACACTGTTGTAACGTCAATATGTTATTATACATACATACACAACATTGTTGTAAGGTCAATACGTTATTATACATACATACACAACATTGTTGTAACGTCAATACGTTATTATATATACATACACAACATTGTTGTAACATCAATACGTTCGATACATACATACACAACATTGTTGTAACGTCGATACGTTATTATACATATATACACAACATTGTTGTAACGTCAATATGTTATTATACATACATACACAACATTGTTGTAAGGTCAATACGTTATTATACTTATACACAACACTGTTGTAACGTCAATATGTTATTATACATACATACAAAACATTGTTGTAAGGTCAATACGTTATTATACATACATACACAACATTGTTGTAACGTCAATACGTTATTATATATACATACACACATTGTTGTAACATCAATACGTTCGATACATACATACACAACATTGTTGTAACGTCAATACGTTATTATACATATATACACAACATTGTTGTAACGTCAATATGTTATTATACATACACAACAATGTTGTAATGTCAATGTTATTATACATACACAACATTGTTGTAACGTCAATACATTATTTTACATACATACACAACATTGTTGTAAGGTCAATACGTTATTATACATACATACACAACATTGTTGTAACGTCAATACATTATTATACATACATACACAACATTGTTGTAACGTCAATACATTATTATACATACATACACAACATTGTTGTAAGGTTAATGCATTATTATACATACACAACAATGTTGTAATGTCGATATGTTATTATACATACATACCCAACATTGTTGTAAGGTTAATGCATTATTATACATACACAACAATGTTGTAATGTCGATATGTTATTATACATACATACACAACATTGTTGTAACGTCAATACGTTATTATACATATATACACAACATTGTTGTAACGTCAATACGTTATTATACATACATACACAACATCGTTGTAACGTCAATACATTATTATACATACATACACAACATTGTTGTAACGTCAATATGTTACTATTTATATACACAACATTGTTGTAAGGTCAATTCATTCTATACATATATATACACAACATTGTTGTAAGGTCAATACATTACTATTTATATACACAACATTGTTGTAAGGTCAATACGTTATTATACATACACAACATTGTTGTAAGGTCAATATGTTACTATACATACATACACAACATTGTTGTAAGGTTAATACATTATTATACATACACAACAATGTTGTAATGTCGATATGTTATCATACATACATACACAACATTGTTGTAAGGTCAGTATGTTATTATTTATATACACAACATTGTTGTAAGGTCAATTCATTCTATACATATATATACACAACATTGTTGTAAAGTCAATACAACATTGTTGTAACGTCAATATGTTATTATACATACATACACAACATTGTTGTAACGTCAATATGTTATTATTATACATACACAACATTGTTGTAACATCAATATGTTATTATTATACATACACAACATTGTTGTAAGGTCAATATGTTATTTTTTATATACACAACATTGTTGTAAGGTCAATTCATTCTATACATATATATACACAACATTGTTGTAACGTCAATACGTTATTATACATATATACACAACATTGTTGTAGTGTCAATGTTATTATCATACATACACAACATTGTTGTAAGGTCAATATGTTACTATACATATATACACAACATTGTTGTAAGGTCAGTACGTTACTATACATATATACACAACATTGTTGTAAGGTCAATACGTTACTATACATACATACACAACATTGTTGTAAGGTCAATATGTTATTATTTATATACACAACATTGTTGTAAGGTCAATACATTCTATACATATATATACACAACATTGTTGTAACCTCAATATGTTATTATTATACATACACAACATTGTTGTAACATCAATATGTTATTATTATACATACACAACATTGTTGTAAGGTCAATACATTACTATTTATATACACAACATTGTTGTAAGGTCAATACGTTACTATACATATATATACACAACATTGTTGTAAGGTCAATACATTACTATACATACCTACACAACATTGTAAAGTTTCTATGTTATTATGATCATTCTATACATAACATTGTTGTACACTATGATCACATACACAGCATATTTGTTGAGATAACTCAAACTGGAATCTCTATTCATAACAACAAATATGGCATCCGACACAACAAGCGTTCAAGGATTGCCTACAAGAAATCTAAAATGATAGTAAATTCAACAAAAAAGGCTGCTAGGGTGCTGCATGATTATTTAAAGGAAATTAAACGGCCAAAAAGGTGTCCGGTCAAGTACAAGTCAAACTAAAATAGTCACCTATAATTTTGCAGAAAATAATACAAGATTGTTAGGGCGACAAATACATCATCTCTGAGTTAGGAGGGGTCTATGAGCGTCAACTTTGGCTTGGGTCTATAAAGACCCTCCTAACCCAGAGATATTGAATTATTATAATATCTGACGGGTATAAACTCAGTCTCAATAGTACAGTACTAACCTCTGTCTTTTCCAGTGATGAACCCTGAATCGGACAGGAAGGAAACTGTTTTAAACTTCATACAATGCGTGTCCTTGTCACCACATTCTGATGTTCCTCCATCATTTGCCTGTAAATCAAATGGGTCCAAACAGATGGGGTCATCCTTCGCTGCACAATCATAGCACTCCAGACAAACACCTGCGAACAAACAGACAATGAAACCATTTACATCCTTAACATCATAATTATGTCATGCTTATCACCACAGCCAGAGGTATCAGTCCTTAATGTTTTAATGTCTTACCCATACACAGTAAAATCTATAGTAAAACACTACAGGATTACCAATGATGACCATATGCACAAGATGGGAAATTCTATCTAACTTGAGTGACCTACCAGTATTGCAAACATTCTACAAATAACATGAATGTAAAAACCAGGTGTTTTATACTACATATTGCATGCCTGTATGTAAGAATTAAGCATTTCATACTACAAATTTTGATTTACAGGTCTGTATGTAAGAATCAGGTGTTTTAAACTACAAATTACCTGTATGTAAGAATCAGGTGTTTAATACTACGCATACATATTACCTATATGTAGGAATCAGGTGTTTAATACTACAAATTACATGTATGAAAGAACCACGTGTTTAATACTATGTATATAAATTACCTGTATGTAAGAACCAGGTTTTTAATACTGCGTTTACATATTACCTGTATGTAAGATCCATGAAGGTGTTTAATACTACCAATTACCTGTATGTAAGAATCAGGTGTTTAATACTACATATTACCTGTATGTAAGAACCAGGTGTTTAATACTACATATACATATTACCTGTATGTAAGTATCAGGTGTTTAATACTACAAATTACATGTATGTAAGTATCAGGTGTTTAATACTACATATTACCTGTATGTAAGAACCAGATGTTTAATACTACATATTACCTGTATGTAAGGACCATGCAGGTGTTTAATACTACCAATTACCTGTATGTAAGAATCAGGTGTTTAATACTACATATTACCTGTATGTAAGAACCAGGTGTTTAATACTACGTATACATATTACCTGTATGTAAGAACCAGATGTTTAATACTACATATTACCTGTATGTAAGGACCATGCAGGTGTTTAATACTACAAATTACCTGTATGTAAGAATCAGGTGTTTAATACTACATATTACCTGTATGTAAGAACCAGGTGTTTAATACTACGTATACATATTATAAATAGTAATATTTTCATGTTTACAGTACTCAATACTCATCTAAATCAATTTCAAAATGTATAACATCAGATGAATCAATGACATCCTGTGGAGGACTGCTCCATATATCAACAACACGGAAAGTAAAGAAATTTTTCCTTATATCAAGGTGCGTGTTTTTTAAAAAGTTTGTAAGAATGCCCTCTTGTAAGACTACTAATATCCCACTGAAACATGCTTTCAGTCACTCTAGGATCATAAGTCTTTCACAATCTTAAAGACGTTTATTAGGTCTCCTCGCATCCGACGATGCTTTAAGGTTGGTAGATTTCATCTCTGCAGATGCTCTGTATACGTCCTATTACTAAATCCAGGTATGATCTTGGTAGCTCGTCTCTGGACGTTTTCAACTAAACCAATATCTTTGCTCCTGTATGGACTCCATACACTAGAGGCATATTCTAAGTGTGGTCTAACAAGCGCATTAAATAAAAGTTTGAACATATTTCATCCAGATGGGTGAATGTTCTTCTAATAAGGCCAACAATACTGTTAGATTTGTTTACATTTAATTGGATATGTTTCCTAAAGTTTAGATCTTTATCTACAGTTACACCGATATATTTTTTACATGTTATGTTCTATTCTTAATGAAGATATCAGCCTTTAACCCGACGTTTAATCGGGGTCTTATATGTGACTAATCATTGCTTAATAGTAAACAATCTTTCAGCGGGCTTGTTGAACCTAAACAAACTTTCCCGGAAGTGAAAATTTAAACAATTAAGCACAGCAATACAAAGGTAAATATATATAATCATGTATATATATATTACAGCAGTTTTGAATTAATTATCAAGTTAACGATACGTTTTGAAGTGTTACCTGATGATACGCGTAAACAATATTTATAGGTCAATTGATTACAGTAAATATGCCACACCTGAGCGTTACGCACCTGTGCAAGGGAGGTAACTTAAACATCGAAATTGTCGAATTTATTGATTTTCTGACATTTTTTCCCAATAAATCTTATATATTGCTATCCTAAACCCTGTTCTTGTTACTTACTCATCGACAAAACAGCCATGAACACCACAACTCGACACAAATCGCTGCCCTTAACTGACATATTGGATTTGTAATCCCACAACCAATACACCTGTGATCTCCACGCCATCTACCGGTGTGACCACAGACTATAAAGGTAGCGATAACTCTGTATGACTTAAAAATCTCTTTTTTTTTTAATCTTCGGAACTAATTTTCTGTCGATTCGTCTCGACTAAGAAATCCATCTATAGAACGCTATAATTGATAGCCACTATAATCAGCTTGTATTCTACATGATGGGATCAAGGAATTAGACCATCCAAGTCGGTGATGATGTCGTGTGGCGTCTGATCATCGGCAGTAGATATAATCATCGGCAGTAGATATAATCATTGACAGTAGATATAATCATTGACAGTAGATATGATCATGGGCAGTAGATAATATGATAATTGACAGTAGATATGATAATTGACAGTACATATAATCATTGACAGTAGATATAATCATTGACAGTGGATAATCTTTTACAGTAGATACGATCATCGGCAGTAGATATGATAATTGACAGTACATCTAATCACTGACAGTAGATATAATCATTGACAGTATATATAATCATTAACAGTAAATATGGTCATTGACAGTAAATATACTCATTGACAGGAGATATGATCATTGACAGCAAATATGATCATTGATAGTAGATATGATCATTGACAGTAGATATGATTATTGCCAGTAGATATAATCATTGACAGTAGATATGATCATTGACAGTAGATATGATCATTGACAGTAGATATGATCATTGACAATAGATATAATCATTGACAGTAGATATAATCATTGATAGTAGATATGATCATCGGCATTGGATACGATAATTAACAGTACATATAATCACTGACAGTAGATATAATCATTGACAGTAGATATGATAATTGACAGCAGATATAATCATTGACAGTAGATATGACCATCGGCAGTAGATATGATAATTGACAGTAGATATGACTATCGGCAGTAGATATAATCATTGACAGTAGATATGATCATTGACAGTCGATTTGATCATTGCCAGTAGATATAATCATTGACAGTAGATATGATTATTAACAGTAAATATAACCATTGCCAGTAGATATTTTAGAGTAGAGTCATTTTACATGTTAAAGGGTATAAGATCGACTTTCAGTAAATATAAAATCATTGGGGGTGTCATTTTTACCGAAAGTCGATCTAAACCCCTAGAACATGTAAAATTACTATGAACACATTAGTTTAGTCCCAATATAGCTATAAAAATTCCCAGGTCTCTGTGATTGCATATCGTTCATTCAACAGTATATTGTGTAAACGTATTCTTATATTTAACATTTGATAAAAAAAAGCATGGCCGAGTGACGCTGTTTAATTATTTCAAGGAATCAAGGAGTTCATGATAATTCTATTTTTTATTACTTCAGAAGAGTTTTAAGATGAGAAAAATAAGTCCATATTTTCAAAAGGCATTTGGTTTATAATGTTTGAAGTATATTTCATTGTTTTAACTATAAATTCAACTCTGAAATCAAGATTTTTTTCTAAATAATTAAAGCGCAGACCACCATTTTAAACAAAATCTTACTATATACATGATATTCTTTTAATGACTCGAAACTATTACGTTGAATGTGACCTCTTCATTAAAATAATTCTTTCAAGCTGAGAAAGACGAGTATGCAAACTATTAATTCTATGAGTATTTTCAGGTGGATTGATCGCACAGATAAGACTCACCTTTATAAGTTGTCTCCCTTTAGCTGTCGAGTCAGACAGTTAAGATAGGGTTGTCGCCCTTAGTGTACAGCTACCGGTGACGGTGTCAGGGAACTTGCAATGATTTTTATATTTGATACAAAATAATGTGTTTTAGAAGCTTCCAGGTCAGTTATCCTGTTAAATATATTCGAGGTCATACCACATCCAAGGTCATAACCTATTGTACAATACGATCCTCCATCCAAGGTCATGACCTATTGTACAATACGATCCTCCATCCAAGGTCATCACACATCTAATTGTCACACAATATCCAGAGTAATCACACGTAAACACCATCTCGATACATCCACGGTCATATTATATCCCAATGCAGGTAACCAATGTAATTCACGACACCCACCCGGCCATTCTATAGCTTGATGCAGAAGATACAGTCAGTCAGTATATACATTTTATTTATATCTTTAAATATCGGACAAAACAAACTTTACAAGTTAAAACAAGGAATAATCGGTTTAGCAATTGATCTCAAATACAATTTCATTTGGTTTGTCTTTTTTCATTTACATTCGAACTTTTAACCCCAAAAATTGAAAAGATAATGAAATAACTAAATTAGCCATAGCGTCAAACACGCATCGCAATTTTTTAAAAAGATGAGATAGAAAACTGTCCCTCCCATATATAAAGCGTCTATATAATGTAATGTAGATCGCTAGTAATTTCGAAATATTTTCAGTGCAGTGTAAGTTCCGAGAGCAATTGTCACTGCGGCACGTGCTTGGTCGTTGCTGATTGATGTGGCTTCATTACAATAATTCGAGTAACAGAAGCACTGTTTTACATAACCAGAATCTGCCGTCTTAGCGTAACATCCCTCCGCCCTTTGGTGCTGCGCAAACTGGACACAATATCGTGATATCGCTGTTGTGTCTGAAAAATAACCACATAATCAATAAGGGGAGATAATCAGACTAGAGATATGTTGGTAAACTTATCTCACATAAATTGTGTGACCAACTGTTGTATTTAAACAAAACCAAACTATTATAACAATGTTGAAACATTTTTTAAACCAATGAAACGCTCTCATTTAATTTTGATCTTTCTGAATTATTTTTTTCCACTTTGAAACAAAACATGTATTTGTTCGATTTATGGCGATCTCAATCAAATACCATAGCAATGGACGCAACATAATTTGGAGAAATAATAATTTCGTTTTAAAAACACACAGCAAAGGAAGAAAAGAAACGCCAAAGCAGCGCCAAAAATGCCATACACGCAATGCATTATAAAATTTACCGTTAAAAATAAAATTTTGTTTAAAAATCTAAATTTTATGCTTAATAAAAATCGTAAGAAAAAGAGAACAGTATTTTTTTTTTATCAAAATTCAACATTTTTGTTACAATTTTGTTGAAAACTAAGAGTTTCGTGATAAACAAATGTCATTTACCGCCGAACACGTCACATAGTATGTTTGGTATAAAATTGTGTAAAAACATCCTAAAGAAATAAATTACAAGTTTGAGTCAAAAATTTGTTTTTAATAAATGTGTTAAAAACTGCACTTTAGGGGAAATAAAAACAAATTAACGTAAAATGAAGATTCCTGAATTTCAACGCAATCTTACAACGCCGTGGCTAACACACACGAACCCTATAACGAACCCATCACTTAACAGGTTACCTGTAAGGAAGGGTAGGTACGCGCTAGGTACTCACATGTGTACGTGTTCCACTGGTTGTGAAGGAAGGCACGGACGTAAGATTTGTAGCACGCGGAGCAATTATGCACGACCCTCTCATCTCCACCACATCGATTGGACGTACCCTGCTTGTAAATGTTACACTGGTAACAGCTTACCCCAGCTCCGTTTACTGCCGGAAATAAACATACACTTAACAAACATTATCGGAATGAAACGTTCTTAATCCCGAAAACAGACCTAAACATTCTATAGTATTATCACACATGTTAAAAATGCTTTGTTTACGTTTTCATTTTTAGGTTGGGGTAATGGTGCAGGATAGGGGTATACGTAGCAATAGACGGATAAGGGGTACAGGGTTCAGGGTACACAATACGTGTAGAAGATACAGGGTAGATTTTGGTGCATAGTACGGGTGGATGGTCTAAGGTAGAAGGTTCAGGGTTGGACAAAATGGTACACAGTACGGGAAGAAGGTCTAGGGTAGGACTATGTGGTACATAGTACGGGCGGAAGGTCTGGGATAGGAGTACAGGGTTGGATACGAGGATACACAGACGGTTAGAAGGTACAGGGTAGGACTAGACGGTACACAGTACGGATGGAAGGTCTAGGGTTGGGATACAAGATTGGATAAGAGTATACACAGTGCGGGTAGAAAGTACCGGGTAGGACTATATGGGACATAATACGGGCGGAAGGTCTAGGGTAGGGTTGCATGGTTGGATAAGAGTATACACAGCACGGTTAGAAGGTGCATGGCAGGGATAGACGGTACACAGTACGGATGGAGGGTCTATGGTATGACTTTATGGTACACAGTACGGGTAGAAGGTACAGGATAGGACCTGACGGTACACAGTACGGGTGGAAGGTCTAGGTTAGGGGGTACGGGGTGGGGTAAAGAGAGTTCACTATACGAGCAGAAGGTACCAGGGTATGATTAGATAGTACGCAGTACGGGGGAAATGTACTAAAGGGTAAAAAGTAAGTGTAGATGTTATAGGAAAGGCGTACAGGGTAGGACTAAAAGGTACACAGTACAAACAAAAGGTACATGGTATGATTAGAGGTGACAGTACGCGTAGAAGGTACAGGATACCCATTACAGGAAGAAGGTACAGAATAGGGGTTACAGGATGTGAATAGAAGGAAAATAACGAATAGAAGATATAGGGTAGCGGGTACAGGGTGGGATTAAAGGGTACAAAGTACGAATATAAGGTACAGGGTATGATTAGAGGTCACAGTACGCGTACAAAGTACAAGGTATTGGATACAGCGTACAAGGTACATATTACAGGAAGAAGGTACATGGTAGGGTGTACAGGGAAGGACTAGAAGGAACATGGCGAGTAGAAGATATAGGGTAGGGGGCCCAGGATGGGAGTAAAGTAGACAGCACGAGTAGCGGGTACCGGGTTATGGGGTACATGGTATTATTCGAGAGTACACAATACGGGGAGAAGATATAGGGTAGGGGTACAGGGAAGGAGTAGATGGTACACAGTACAAGTAGAAGGTACAGAGTAGGTGAAACAGAGTAAGATTAGAAAGTACACAGTACGCGAAGACGGTACAGGATATGAGTCAAGGGTACACAGTACCAGTAGAAGAAATAGGGTTCGGGGTACAGAGTTTGGCAAGAGAGTACACAGTAGGTTAAAA